GCGGGGGGGGGGGAGAGACAAAGCTGAACTTCTAAATAGCTATATGGAAAGGTGGATTTTTTAATGTGCATTACTCTTGGATTCGACAAGACTACAGACTTTATATAAATGAGCAGTTGTTTATAATTTAAAAATTTGTATTTTATTTGGTAATAAAAATATGCAGTATTAAAATGTTTTATCTGACATTTTGTTGCAGGGAATTTTTATTACATTTGTATGTAATTTTTAATAATTTTAAATATTTGTAAACCGAAAACACAAAACTTGCTAATTTGTAATTCAAATCTATGTTTACTTTAATGTTATTGAACTTATAAGCAGAAGTCCAGTTTATGTAATGTACACATTCCATTTTATATCTGATAGACCATTTTGTTGCAGGAAATTATTGTACATGTTGCAAAAATATGGAAGTTTTAATTTAAACTTGTCAATATAATTGACATCTATGTTTACTATTAAATGTTATTGTCCATTGTATGTAATTTTTAAAAATCTGATTCTAAACAAGGCTTTGTGCACTGCTATGTAAAGTCATGTCAAGTACTGTAGTGAATAATGTTTTAAAATCTTACCAAGTAATTTACTGTATAATTGAATTTTAGATACTTAATTGTTAACAATAAATACAAAGGAAGCATCTAACCATGTACAGTATTTGCTCAGTAGTCTGAATAGTCTAGAGTAAATGATTAAAGAAACAATTATTTTAGTTCCGATTTTCTTTGAAGATTGCCTCCGGAGATTACATCTTAATCTGAAATGTCAATAGATCAATTCAAAAGCAAACAGCATTGTGGTTAAGTTACTAGGTGAACCATTGCACTTTTTGATAAGTCTAAAATAATGAAATCGGTAGAGGGAAAACTACATACTAGCTTGGTTACGTCGAACTTTTATCTAGATATACATCCACTTAACTAGTTAAAAGTTCGACGTGAACCGCTCAATTATAGCTAGTTAAAGGAATTAAGTCACTTAGGTTAAGTGACTTAACTTTACTAGAATAACGGTAAATTAACTTGCTTAACGGTAAAGTCGGCTCGGATTACAAGGACACGATTACGTAACGTAGGCATCTAAGCCAGCTTTGTTGTATTGTACCACCATTATCATCTTCTGGCTGGCAGCAACATACTTCAACAATGCCAACAGCATCGCAGTAGTCTCATTAGTCTGGTTTTCAAAAATTATTTGTAATATTTTGGGTAAACACCCAGCAAACGTCCGTTTTACGAATAGTCGATATTACCAATGACCTTTGAACTTTGCATCATCGACCAAGTAATA